TGACTGAAACCTAGCTAGACTAATTTTTTTTCTGTATCTTCCGCTGTGCCTTCATTTTTGTAAAATAAGAACCTAGGGGGCAATTCATTCACCATACAGACGAAACAAGAGAACATTTACCTACTTTTTAATTCAAATAATGAGCCTTTTGTCGCTAAAATACCCGGCGCACGCTAGTACAATTCTGTTGACAACAGTTTGCACCGGTAGTGGGGGGATTTTCTTCTTCTTCTTTCAGCCACATTCACCCTCAGTATATGACCGGCATCTTTCATAAAAAAGTACCTCTCCCTATCCGGGTTCAGTAACTGATTCTGAAGCGACTAGTATGGAATAAATTAGGTAAATGAATAATGTCAATCAAGAGCGTCGCTTGGCAGATGCTCTGCTGGCTGTGTAAACCAACAGAAATAGAACCCCTAGAGAGTTGCGTTAAAAAAATACGTAACAACAACAACGCCCTCGGGTCCCCTTAGCCGCCGAACACACATAAATGTTCGAAATGCAGGAACGTATAGTTCAGCCAGCATTGACACTTCTCTTGACGGGTATATCTGATCAACACTTTATATTTGCTTGATAAAGATTTTAGTATTAAAACAAATTATAACAACAGGCCAGTAGCTGAAGGAAAAATGATAAGAAACAACGGTATTAACGACAGTCTAACCTCTCGTAATGAAGCTGTGAGCACAAAAAATACGAAGGCCGGATTGTCCTCTTAAGGGAACTGGTCGTTTACGCCCATGCTTACAAAAGGACCTCTCGCAAGTCATGTTATGTCCCAGAATCCTGCTAATCGACCTTTATATTTTTGACCCCATGTCGGACCCTGTGTTTTTTCTCTGAATACCTAAAATTAGAGGAGCTGCGTACTAGGAGCTCGGGAGCGTACTAGGAGCAGCGTACTATTGAATTTCCGGGTAAACGAACTGCTCGACACCCAACCGACTGTGTTTTTTTTTTTTACCTCGAAGTAAAATCAGGACCCCAGGATGATGGGACATTACCGACTCTTGTAGTAATCTCCCTCAGTCCTCTGCGCGAGTCTCCGATACTAGTCTGCTAACTCAGTAACTTCCGGGTTAGTGACAAGCGATTAGAAAACTTATGGGGGGACAAACAAAGTACAAAAAAATTAGTCGTGCAAGGGAAAATTAAATAAAACAAATTCATGCACGAAAGAAGAAAGAAAACCTAAAAAAAAATTATGCACTGGCCTAAAAAATTGATACAAGAGAAATGTTAACAAAAGAAACTCCCCCAACACTTTTCTAATGGTACGATTTAAATGTTGTTTTTCAATGAACATTGTGACTGTAATTGAATTTGTTTTAAAAGTTTTCTTTAGCTTTTCTTTATCTACCGTAGGGACGGACCATTAGAAAACTTATGGGGTGGGGGGGGTGGCGAAGTACCAAAAACAATATTTGCGCAAGGGAAAATTGAATGAGAAAAAATTCATACACGCCAATTAACCCTTAAAAAATATTTATTCTATGGCCTAAAAAAAATCAGACAAGGAATTTGATGACGAAAAAAAATTCCTGCTACTCGAAAATTCCCCACCCCCCACTTTCTAATGGGCCGTCCCTTAGTGATGGCGAAGTCGACCGTGGAGCGCACAGTTTTTTCCCCACCCCTCACCCCCTAAAAATATACCTTTGTTTAGTCACGATGGCGTACAGTTGCGCGACTTTGCTGGACGAGTGATACAATTGATGGTTTTCACGGTGACGTCATCAGATTGCAAAGTCAAAAAAGCGAGGTTTTACGAATTCTTATTTACACTAGGTTGAAGATTAATAGGAAATAAATCTTTGTACAAGTTTCCAGCCAGTATTTCGAAAATACAGCAGTTTAAACTTCCGAGTTTTCACAGTGCGTGACACCAAAATAGGAATGCTATCTCCTTGAAAAAAGTCTCTCCGCTTGATTTTCAGCAGTTTAACCATTTCAAGTATTAGAAGATATGTTTATGCGCAAGTATGGTAGTTCTCGAGTGAAAAGGAGGAGCTTTTATAGAAAAAGTGAACTCCAGATGTTTTTGTTGATTTCCGCTTATTCAGCTTATTACAAACTTATAAACTTGTAGTATTAAAAGAAATATAGACTTTGAAAAATAGAATCCCTGTTGTGGAACGAACCGAAGCTGAAATGGTTGCTTTGATAATATTAACTCGGTGTTGACATAAACGGGTCGGCAATGAAAGTGTTTTTAGCACTTATTCGGTACAATGAGATAAAAATCAAAAGGAAAAGTTACATATGTGCCTATTATCCGATATTCTAGCGGTAAGAAACACGTGGAAGGTTTTCCAGAGCAATTTTTAAATTGTTTGCGTAGGTATGTAGGGAAACATGTTGCCCCGTAAATTGATTTAGGTGGCAAAATGGTGTTCAGGTTTCCGTTTCTCTACGGGACACTTTTTACGGACGGCGGAAAAAATTTTCACACAAAAGTAATCTAGTGTTTTAGAAAGAGCAAGTGAAGTGCTAT